TATTATTATTATTATTATTATTCACAGCAATAATGCAATCAAATATGTAACATAGCACTGAATATGCCTTTTGAACATCTATCAAGTTTTAATCAAAGGCATTATTCAACCGAGTTCGCTTTTCCCTTCGAAGGTAGGAGAGACGGAAAAGAGCCCTGGAGTCGGCCAATAGATTCTGTGAGTGTTTTTGCTCCCTTGATTTTGACCGAATAGAAGCAGATTAAAATTTCGCCTGAACATGTCGGGAAAATTTCGGAAAAGTCTTTCTGAAAATATTTCAGTTTTTCTGTTCGAAATCCATTTTGCTGATTTTGTATCAGCGGTTTTTCTTTTTTTTCATTTTGGAATAATTTTCCGGCTTCCTACCTTAGAGGATGAAGCGACTTTTGGAGCTGAAGTGTTCTATTTCTGAAATGGAAACCCCCGGCCACAAAACCCACAACGCGATAGTGCTTCTCAATTGCTAACCTTGTCAATTTGACGAGGGTTTTATTGAACAAGAGCTGACGGAGCTGGATGGAAAGCTTAAAAACATTACAACGTTTAATAACATCGCGTTAATCCATTTACAACTCCACTTAATCTAGTATTTTAAAATGGCGTAACCAGGCAGGCAACTTGAATGACGCTACATATTATCTCTATTACATGTCACGTAGAGCAACTCCAACTTGTCTTTGTTGCTGAGGTCTCAGTTTGCGAAAGAGAGCAAGTAAAGCTGATCTGTACTCTGGCATGCGGATAGTGTATAATATAGGATTTACAAGAGAGTTAGCATAAAATAACACCAACGACGCTTCAGCTAAATGAAAGAGCACTGAATCGGGCGATGAAAGCCATAAATCATACCCGCTTAAAATGACAAGACCAAATATAACATATGGCAAGCTTAATAAGAGAGATACAACAGTCACAATCAACAATGTCGTGGTCAGTTTTGTTTCTCTACTGGTTGCACCATGGTGTTGAGGCTGCGCTCCACAACGGACTTTAATAACAATGGACGTGTAAGAAACAAAAATAATCAAAAGACAAATAAGGAAAAAAGTAGTCCTTAAGTAAACATGATGATCTAATTTACTAAAATGTGCAAGAAGTACGTAAGTAACTATTACCAGCCCAGCTGTGATCCAAACAACGGCAATTATTAGCCCGTAGAGCCATTTTTTGAGCAATCGATGTTTGAAGGGCCGGTACGTCGCGTGCACCCGCTCTAAAGCAATAATTGTCATGTTTGTTAACGAACTAAGAGGGAAAAAAACCGAGAATGCTTGCAGTATATTCAACGCCCAATTTTCAATTGAACGCCGCGTGAATACATTACAGTATACCCCAGACGAATAGAACATAGTATACCCAACAAATCCTCCAACTAACATATCTACAACTGCCAAATTTATCACCAGGTACATGCTACGTTTGCGGAGATTACGGTTTCTTATAAAAACAATTATCGTACAGAGGTTTAGCGTTACTATAGCAACAGACTCGGCTAAGCCTACAGTCATCCAGGGTATGCAGTCAGATAAAGACAGCATCTCAAAGCTCTCTCCTTTTCGTATTGGCACTAGAAGTAGTTCAGTACTCGTCTGCCTGTGGAAAGAAGTTAATGCGTATTTTTATTAGGTTCTTTTAGGGATTGCATAAGGCATGTATTTAAAAGGGATGCAAAGTTTATATCAACGTGCAGATTCATTTTGGCATAAAGCACGCGTATTGATATTTATCGGCTTTCGAGGCATTGACAACAGATTTTAATATGCTTGTTGTTTTAAATCTGTCTGATTTTTTTTCAAATGTCTGTTAATTTGTGTGTTTCCGTGGCCAGTCATTCGCTGTACACCCTAAATATCGAAAGCTCATGCTTAAATTTAAGGGAAAATTTGGTTACTGAAATTAGAGACTGAAATATTTACAATATTCACTCCACAAAAACAAACAAAAATTGCTCAAGCATTAAATTTATTGTAGGTTATTTCTTTTTGGCAGCGTATTTCGCGAAATTTCTTGCTTATAGGGACTGCCAAATATAGCTAAAAGAAATCTTTGCCACTGTAAACTAATTTTAAGTGGCTATAAGACAGCGCTTTTATTCTCTCCACAATGTCGTTTGACCTCTCAGAGTAAGCCCTTTTCTCTTCGGCCTTTGTGTCATAAAGAGTACTAATTGTTCTTTTCTTTATGTTATGCTCAAACATTTAAGGAAGAGAGCGCACGGCGATCTGGACCGTCTGAGAATCAAGCTCGCTCAAACATCTAAGTTTTTTGTCACTCTTTTTCTTGTCTTTGGTTTTTTCACTTTTTTTAATTCAGTTACTTAGTCAAACTAAGTTTCAGTTTCAAATTAATCCATGCACCCTTCTCCGGATAGAAGAAAGTTGCCCGACTCTTCTTGATTCTGTATTTATTTCCCTGCTATGACCAAAATTATACATGGAAAAAACTTTCTTATAGTTAACCCTTCCAAAGGATATACAGTATTGAGGCTTCCGCGACTGAATTGGTTGTGTTTGGCCAGACAACACAGAATTTGGTCATTTCACGTTGCTGTTTTGCGGAGGACGACAAAGAAATATACCAAGAATTATAACGCACGTGCACAGCCACTGTTTTGCTCATTAAACCTTTTGTTTGGTGACGTTCTCGTTGCTTTTGCCGCTGCCGTCGTGTTTTGCGTAAGGTCCCTAATAGTCCAATGCGCCAGACGCGAGCGCCAAAGGGTCGTAGTTTTGAACAAAAGAAGTTGTTTTCACGGATCGAGGAAAGCAAAAGTGAACGGGAAAACAAAACCGCTAGTGCCAGCCAATCAAAATTCTTAAGGCTAAAGAAGGCTTGAAGTCAGTCTTGACGTGGTAACGACACGATCCGCAGTACAGCTTTTTGATTTCGAGGTTGCTTGTTCATAACAACAATTTGAGATGATATCGAGCGTCAATACGTGATAGAACTGAAACCCAAAAGATATTGCCCGCCAGAAGAAACATTTACATTTTGCGAAGTGTTATTGGAGAGGAAAATGGCATCCATAAAAGTTGAAAATTTAATTTCTGTACGGCTTTTCTAGCTATGTTCTTCTGGATCACTTTCTTCTTCCATTTCTTTCAGAATGTCTTTAGTACAGTCATGAAGATCTCTCATCATTAACAAGTTTCTTGTAGCAGTCCGATTTTTTCAGTAGAGAAACGAAGTTCCCCCACAAGATCATTTTGAGGATCTGGATGATCTAAAAGTTTCTGTCTTATTATTAATGATTCATTACAGTTGTAAAATTTGTTAAACAAACCCCTTCGTTTAATTACTTTCGTGAAATCTAACGCCCTTTTATTCATTTTTCTTCTTGAAATCACGATATCAAAACCTCGGAAGATATGGCCAGGCAGAAACCGCAGCGGAATTAAGTACCAATGGGTAATTTCGGAAGCTCTTCTCGACATACCTTGCATAAACAAAAAGATGTAATCGCGGTGCTCACTGTATTGATGTACCAGGTTTTCTAACGGTCATTTTTTTAATGAACACGACAAAAAATCAACAGATTTTGTTCTTTTTATAACGTACTGAACTACAAATGCCAGTATCAAAAAGTTACCAGCTCCCAGTTTGCTTGATAGCTCAGTTGGTAGAGCACTGCACTGGTATCGCAGAGGTCATGGGTTCGAATCCCGTTCAAGACTTAATTTTTTTTAGGCTTTGATTACGCAAGTGGTCAAAAGTTGTGTGTATAGATGCGATAACCAATCACGTCTTCATATCTTTCTCCGCAGTTCAAATATATGAGCTTTCATATATTCACTTGTATCAAAAGAACAGTTGAAACAACTCTCAATCTTACCTTGGTAGAAGCCCTCCTCTTGAATTTATCGTTGGAGGATAAGTACACACATAATAAGATAACTGATATAAAAGAGGAAGTGATCCGCAATCTTTTGTTGCAAATTTTGGTTAACTTTCGATGCGCTCCAAAAGTTCTAAATTGGCGTAGAATCGGTAAAATAATAAGGATAAGGTATCCACTTGATAAGTTGCATTTATTTTCAAACACTTTGATGATCAAAGAGTGAATGTCATAGCATTGTAAAATCAAAGATGATAAAGCTCAGCAGTAAACAGTTAAAGTTCTTTCCAAACTTCAACGAAAACAGTTACCAGAACAAATATTGGAAAGATAAGTGAAAAAAAAGTTGAAACGTCTTCAACTTACCCCACTTGTAAACAAGAAGCTCTTTCTGGTGAATGTTTTTTTGAAAATAGATCTGAATTTTTTTCTTTCTGTTGGGAGAACAACGGGTTTAATAGCTTGAGCGAAAATATAATTTTAAAAGCAAAATACACCTCTATAAAGATATATAGCTAGAAGTAAATAGGCGGTTATTGATGAGAACGTTTCTTTGCTAAAAGTTTGTTTTTCCATTCAATACAAACTGCATTTGTCGGGATGTCTTGTAATCCATTTGTGAACAGCACAAGACGGGTAAAATAACGCGATTAACTTAGAAGTAATTTAACAACGAAAAAAGATTCCTTTTTCAGTGTAGGAAATCGTTGCTCTTTTTCTGGTCCGATATACATTTAGAACGTTGACATGACGTTACTATTGTTACATGTAAGTGCCTAAATAATAAAGATGGAGGAAGAATATGTCGTGTTAGGGTTAAATTTACCACGTAGCCATAACGACTAATGCAATTTGCAGCGCACGAAAAACTTTAAGTTTCCATAGTATTCAATTGTTTCAACTGACCATGATTGTGAGGCTTTATAAAAGAATAATTGTAAAATATTGAACACAAAGAGATAACAAACCCTAGTGGCGAAACAGCGTTCTTTCAGTCAAAAGAATCATATCTAATTACAGTAGACTTTACCCAATGTCCACAAGCTCATTTCAACCTACCTTAAGAGCAACTTTAGATCCTGGTAAGTAGTCTCAGAGTAAATGAAAACCAGTCAAACTTCAAAGAGAGATATAATCTTGGCCTAATTGAAAAATTGGAAAAGCAATTGTAAACAAGATGCCAACATTCTATGATACTAAATAACTATTGACTTTATATTGCTGTATTTCCATCTTCAATCAGCTCCGTGCATTGCGCCAAAGCGAAACGGGAAAAAACAGAAATAATGGTTTCTTGATAGGTTTAGTGCCATTTCTACTTCGCTTGCTGATCTGAGCTACTTTGAAAGGCAAAAGTACTCCTATCTTTTCAGCAGAGTGCTATTTGATTTCAACTTGAAACCTTATAAAAAAAAAATATTCGCTGACAGAACACTGACAACAACTGTGAATAAAGAGGCCACGCCAGCAGGAAACGCCTCTCGCCTCGTCGGTTTTAAAACAGCTCTCCAATTTAATACTCTATAAATTTTTAATGAGATACCTCCTGGCAAGACATTTGTTGTTTCTTTGAGAATGATATCATTTGTTAAGGTGATGACGGCAAATGATCGAACCCACTTGCGCGAACTGAGAACGCATGAGCCCTTTTGGAAACTGCGCTAGGGTTCTGTCCAGATATTCGCTGTCAACCCTGTGTCTAAATAAAATGCGTATGTCTGTTCTCGATTATTCTCCACCTCGGCGAATTTCTGTTATTTTCTCTTTTGTTATTGGCATGTCAAAATATTACATTCAAATTTAGACTGAACTGCACGAACGAACGTTCGTTCCCTGATTGAGAGCCGTGAAGCTTTGGCCAAATGTAAACCCGTTTACTGTGCTCGGCAAAACAGATTTCTGTGCGTATTTCTGTGTGTCCGTGCGTATTCCGATTAACTGCCGTATTTTAAAGAGAGGATCCCAAATAAAATTAACGCCATGTCTCACTGGTAGATTTGTAAAACAAGACCCTCAAATAATTTATATTCGAAGTTTAATAAACCTTAGGTATTATAACAAAATAGTTAGCGCCGGATCCACGAAGCCAAGTTTGAAATAAACGCCGGTGGCGCTTAATGAAAAACAAAACACGCTAAGACTTATTTTATTATTTTCCAACGTATTGGCGCGATTCGTGTCTTTTTACTACTATCATATTGTGGTGTTCCTGAATAATACTTGTTTTTTGCTGCAATCCGGTAAGCGACATCTAACGCTCGGTAAAAGAATTAAAGTCGAAAAAGTATTTTGAATTACAACATGATGTGAGCTAGCAGGTCTAGTTTCATTTTCATAGACGAAAGCGGATTTTTCATTCTTATCAACGGTAAAAAGAGAAGTCAAGCTATATTTCTGGTGTTCCGTCTTCGCACATTG